GGTGGTTGTACTGGGCCAGGCGCGAGGCCTCCGAGGCCAACCGCTCGAAGATGTCGTTGACAAAGGAGTTCATGATGCTCATGGCCTTAGAGGAGATGCCGGTGTCCGGGTGCACCTGCCAGATGGTAACCAAGCACCGTCTCACACACTGTCGCCCTGGAGGGAGGCGGCCCCGCTTCCCTCCCCAGACTGGGCATTCAGACCCTAAAGGGGTCCCACAGCTGCCACCCCAAGGGTCTGGGAGCTGTGTGCCACTTCCAATCCCAAAGCCACTGTAGCAGCACGAGGGCTTCCCTTCAGTCTCATGCACTGCCAGGAGCCTCTGCACAATCCCTGCGGGAAACAAGCCTGCAAGGGGTGGAAACACCCACACGCTCCCAGTCCTGCCTAGGCTCATGCACGGGACTGAGGCCTCGACAACTCACGGCCACCTCTCAAAATTATTTTTTTCATCTCTTCAACAGGTATTTCCAGAAAGATTTCAACAGTTATCCATAGGGCCGACAGCAGCTGTTCTTGTCCTGCTGACTCATTTCTTCAGGCAGAGCCATCCACCAGAGCTTATTCTCTCTAGGAAACTCTTTCCAATCTAGATCCATCTCTTGCCTCCTGCCCCAAGATCACACACACTTCTGAGACTCAGCTGACACTTCCCTGTACCCACTCACTCTTTTTCATCTCACTAAAAAGCAGATTTTTCCTTCCTGCCTCTTTGCAAGTCTAACATGCAGTGGGCAAAAGTAACTTTACCTATGAAGCAGTTTCCAGCAGAAAAAGAAACATTCACTCACCTGCTTCAGTACTTTGTAGATATAGACTGAATAGGTTTCCTTCCTCTTAGGCTTCCTCTTAGACTTCCTGTCCCCAGAGGCAGGAGCATGGCTATGTTTCTTCCCAGCTTCTGCGCTCATCTCAGCCCCCAACACCGCAAGCTCCAGCAGAGCAGCCAGCAGGTGCCATGGGGCTGGTTATATAGCAAAGGCAGCAGCACCTCGCTTGCCTCAGGTGCAGCCCCCGAGGAGCAGGACGAATACACGTCTGTGACTCACGATTCCACTTCCCACTAAATGGAGGCAGCTGGCCTGAGAGGAGCTTGGAAGTAACTGATTCAATCAGACTTTCAGACCTGAGAAAAAGTTTGACGGTAACATGGGCAAAGAGGTGGAGCAATAGTGCCTCATTCACATGGGGCACAACAGCTATTCCCAAGTGCATCCAGGGTTTTGGTGAAAGGACGGTTCCTACTTTGGTGGAAGGGTGTAAATCAGGGTACTCAAGGTATTGCTTCCAGAATCAAATGGGTGGAACCGCTTCTGTGCTGTGGAATGGATAATGCAGTCAGTGGAGACTCAGTAACTGGAAGGAACATAGAATCACAGACTGGTTTGGGTTGGAAGGGACCTCAAAGATCATCCAGTTCCAACCCCCCTGCCATGGCCAGGGACACCCTCCACTACATCAGGTTGCTCAAAGCCCCATCCAACCTGGTCTTGAACACTTCCAGGGATGGGGCAGCCACAGCTTCTCTGGGCAACCTGTGCCAGTGCCTCACCACCCTCAGAGGGAAGAATTTCTTCCTTAGATCCCATCGGAATCTCCCCTCTTCCAGTTTAAAGCCATTGCCCTGTGTCCTGTCACTCCACGCCCATGTCCAAAGCCCCTCTCCAGCTTTCCTGTATCCCCTTTAGGCACTGGAAGGTGCTGGAAGTTCTCCCCGGAGCCTTCTCTTCTCCAGGCTGAACAGCCCCAACTCTCCCAGCCTGTCTCCAGAGCAGAGGTGCCCCACCCCCCCCACCATCCCCGTGGCCGCCTCTGGCCCCGCTCCAGCAGCTCCATGTCCTTCTGCTGTTGGAGACCTGAGAGCTGAAGGCAGCACTGCAGGGGGGTCTGCCAAGAGCAGAGCAGAGGGGCAGAATCCTCCCCCTCACCCTGCTGCCCACGCTGCTCTGGATGAAGCCTGGGTTGGTCTAGCGAATGACAGTGTTACAAACATCCCAACAGCCAGTGTTCCTCCTGCTATCTCAGCTGGTCTGCTCGTGGGAGTCCTGCCTCCTACATACAACAGGACCTCAAAGGACAGAGGGAGGCAGTGGAGGGCAGGGATAACACCCTGAGTATGTACTTGATCTATCTTGGAAACCAGTGATCACACTAGTGATGGTAATTATAGCGCAGCAATTAGGCTAAGTCAGGAAAAAAAAACGTGCAGCAACACAATAGAGAAGTGAATTATTTTTAGAAAAAGTTTTCTGTGCTTTATATAGAAAGGGAAGCCTTTCTCCCAGCAGGCACCATAACAGCTATTTCATAAAAGGGTAATACTAATGTGCACCCTTTGGGGAGGGAATGCTGGTGTCCCTGTGCTGCCATGCACACTGTCTCCTGCTCAGGGACACACGTTATACTGGTGTATCTTTAGCAAATCACATCTTCCAAAAGAAGGGCTACGGAGCCGGTGAAGGGTCTGGAGCACAAGTCCTGTGAGGAGCAGCTGAGGGAACTGGGATTGTTCAGCCTGGAGAAAAGGAGGCTGAGGGGAGACCTTCTTGGTCGGTACAACTGCCTGAAAGGAGGTTGTAGTGAGGTGAGGTTGGTCTTTTCTCCCAAGTAACAAGCGACGGGACAAGAGGAAAGAGCCTCAAGTTGCACCAGGGGAGGTTTAGATTGGATATCAGGAAAAATTTCTTCACCGAAAGGGTTGTTGAGCATCAGAACAGGCTGTCCAGGGCAGCGGTGGATTCACCATCCCTGGAGGTATTTAAAAGCCGTGTGGATGTGGTGCTGAGGGACGTGGTTCAGTGCTGGACTGGGCAGTGCTGGGTTAATGATTGGACTTGATGATCTTAAAGGTCTTTTCCAACCTCAAAGATTCTATGATTCCGAGGACTGAGTTTGAGAGACGTACTCATCAGTCACTCTTCCAACAGCATTTCACCGAGTTTAGTTTTATTCTAGGCCTGTCCTCATGGGGAGGCACCTGATCACCCATCCCTCATGAAAATAAATGTCACAGTGACGAACAGGGTCTGAGCATCACGGAAGGGCTTTTTGCACCTGAGAACTGGAACATTAGTGATCAAGTGGGACAGGCCAGAATGGTCACATCAGCACATTTGTGAAGGGGAACAGCCTCAGCCACTGAAGATACGGGATAGTGTATCCTTCTGGGAATGGGAGCAGCATATTCTGTGATACCTAACAGTATGAAGAGATGTCAGCAGATGGCTCATACTGGGCGTACGGAGCAGGCAACATCACGGCTTCTGTTTTGTAAGAGGCCATGCAGCGACAAGGAACAGCGTAGGGTTTCCCCCTCTGATGGACATTCCACCCACCCACTGATTTACAGAGCTCTAAATAGCTGAGATCTTTGTGCTGGGGGAGACTGTTCACTGTGACTGGAACTGTTTTACCTTTTCCACCGGTGATGGCACACCAAGGCGCTCTCGTGCTAAAGGAGCTGTTGGCTGTTGTATCTCTCCATAGCTGCAGCTGTGTCTGGCAAGGAGCAGCGCCTGGTCGCGCAGCATTAAGCACAGAAAGCCGTTACACAGCAAGGGCAGAGGCTCATCCCCCGAGCAGTATAGTCAAATTTGAACTCCCAGATTTGGGGAATTACCATCTCCTTCCCTAGACTGCACGTGCTAGAGGTAGTCCGTTCTGGAAGCTGTATGCTGGACCTGACTCATCCTCGTGCCGTTTCTGTAGCGCCTGGATGGTCGCGCAGCATTAAGCACAGAAAGCCGTTACACAGCAAGGGCAGAGGCTCATCCACCGAGCAGTATAGTCAAATTTGAACTCCCAGATTTGGGGAATTACCATCTCCTTCCCTAGACTGCACGTGCTAGAGGTAGTCCGTTCTGGAAGCTGTATGCTGGACCTGACTCATCCTCGTGCCGTTTCTGTAGCGCCTGGATCGACTCTCACCGCAAAGACGAGGGAATCGCACCCCCTGCGGCTGCAGCCGCGGTGGAGCCAACCTCGCTCTTACGGGACACACGCGAGAAACGGCGCCGAGGCTCTAGGCCGCGTCTTTCACAGAAACGACCATCCTGGCAACCAAGGGGCAATTCCCATACTTCATCCAGATGGAGTTTTGCTTGTGTGCATGACCAGAAAAGCCCTCGCTGCAACAGTCCCAAAGGCCACTGCCCTGGCAGTCACAGAAATCAGTGCTCCAGGACACGTGTCTGCCACGGCTGCTTCAGGGCAGCCTGGCACTCTGCCACCAAGAAGAGGGTCAAGTCAAGGTGGAAATGCCAGCCTGCCAAAGCATGTATATGTATTCCATATGTAAAGCCCTGGCCTGCTCTGGCCTCTGGTGCAGTTACAGCTACAGAACACGTGCCTGTGGCCCTTGTTTGCCAAAGCAGAGACCCGCCTGCGAGCGAGAAGCTCCTCTCCTTGCGCGGCAGCAGGCAGCTACCCCCGCTCTCCTCCGTGCTACGTCAGCGGCGAGAGCTCTCCCACTGCTGTCCCTTTTGCTGGCTGCCATCCTAACGTTCCCATGCCCTTCTCAGGATTTACCATTCCCAAAGAACTCGGCGTAAGATTATATCCTGCATTTATTGTTGCCACCGTGGCTCTCAACTACACGGCAAGAGCGGCTGCCCAATCTGTGCTGAGAATAAGGAAGAGCAGGATGAGCAGCTCCAGCCTCAGGCAGGACTTCCTGCCTCACCATTCTCAGAGCGACTTTGCAACCCTTTCCAACTCACCAACATCTTTCTAAAGCCTAGAGAGCAGCACGAACGCATTCATCTATTCTCGTTTCGACTGTTGGGACACCATCAGCCTTTACAGTAACTACTGATCTGTGGGTTGCTTTTACTCTGTCTCCTAACTTCTGAGTACTACGAGATACTAATTCAGTGACTGTTCAATGCAACCCAGACTTTTCTGCAGAGCTGACTTTTGAATGGCATTTATACTAACCTGCATTATTTTCTCAGAAAATACTTTTTTTTTTTTCTCTCAGATCATTGCTATAAACACTGAAAAACCTGAATGCTCTGCACTATCTACTGGAAGCAGCTCCCGTTGTGACGTTTGACCTATGGATGATATGCAATGCTCCTATAGCAGCAGTCACAACTTCAATGGTCCCTTTGGAGAAAAAAAAAAAAAAAAGGAAAATACTCAAAAAAGTCAAGAGCCAGACAGTTGGCACCTGAGAAAGTACTCCAAGAGAGTACAACTACCACATATTTGTCCTATTCTTCAATTTGCCTGTCAATGTGTACTGTTGGAACACGTTATTGGGCTACAGGAACCTTTCTCATGTCAGAACTCATGATAGTAAGAAGTTATTTGGTTTGATTTTGCTACCTTTTTCTTTAGTACCTTGTAGTTGTTTAAAAAATATAAGAAAAATATATTTTATTCAAGCTTCTTTGTCACAGGGTATGGTTTTAACCATCAACTTTTCTAAAAATTGGTTAAGAACAAAAATGAATGTTAAACTATCTTTAGTTGATTTGTCTTGTTTAGTTAAACCTGCAAGGAACAAGTAATTCACAGTTCAAAAATCCTAAATTATCCAGTCTTGTTATTAGACCCATAAAATTCAAAGCAGAGGAAAAAGCATGCACCTCAGCCACTCTGTTGTGGAGAAAACACACTGGGTATTTCATTCTGTCTCTAACTTCCAGTCTTCAGAACCCTTTCAAGCTGTACCGGTCAACAACGAAAAAAGCATGTGTGGCTTGCTGCCCCTTCTGTCACTGACTGGAAACCCAGTGTTCCCTCTGGATTTGCAGAGGTTTCCCAGGTGTGAGCATCTTACTCACTGCTCTGTTCCTCCAGAGCTCAGTACTCACTCTTCACGTATCCCACAAGTTCTGGTCATAACTTTGGTAGTACTGAAGAACTGAACCTTCACCCCAGAAGAAAGTGCTCTGCATCCTTACTC